ATTATAGTATTCGCCACCTTTATCGATTCTTAACCTTTTAAACTTTTCATTTGTTTGCAATTCTACTTCATTCTTGTAGATTTTAAATTTGTCAAGGGCTTCGTCCTTAGAAAACAATTAGTAAACATAGCAAAATCTTGAAAAATCATCAATAAAAGTTGCTAAATATTTCTTATTTCCGAAGGAAGGAGTGTTATGAAAATCACATAAATCACTACGCACTAATTCAAGCAATGAAGTATTCTTTTCTACATTGTTAGGAAATGGTTTCCTTGTAATTTTTGTTAGCATGCATGTTCTACACTTCAAACAATGGAATTAAATCATGCTTAGACATAAAGTAAAGTTTCTTATAATTAACATGTCCAAGTCTAGCATGCCATAGAGAAGAATTATCATTTACAACATACACATTGTCCCTAACATTATTACAAATACTTAATTTAAACATTCCATCATACAAATAACCAAGTCCTACAAACATACCACCTTTAGATAAAATAAATTTGTCCGACTCAGACACCATCTTAAAACCTAAACGATTCAAGGTAGCACCGGATACAAGATTTCTCCTAAGTTCGGGAGCATACAACACATCCCTAAGAATTAGATATTTGCCCGAACTAAATATTAATTCTACTTGTCCCTTGCCTAAGACCTTTGATGTTGAATCATTCCCCATGTAAAGAATCTCTTCATTGGTAACTTCAACGAAAGATTTGAACAAAGAACGATCCTTGCAAACATGTCTCGATGCTCCTGAATCGATGTACCATGATACATCACCCTGCACACAAAATTTCAGAAATCACATACAAATAACTCATTAAAGAATTAAATGAAACTTGTGTACAAGAATTACCTTGTCATGAGATGACCGGGCTTGCCACACACCCAACAAGCACGAGGCTTTGGTGCATTACCATCAACCTTAGGCTTATTGCTTTTTCCTTTGTTAAAGTCTTTACCCCTCTTTTTGTCATTTGACTTTGAGTCCTCCACCACATTAATGGTAGAAGTCGGATTTGCATCCTTTTGTCCACCATGAAATCGGATTCCCTCTTCAATCCGAATATGGGAAGCCAATTCATAACATTTATTTCATCCTTCTTATGCTTTAAAGTGTTTCTAAAGTCTTTCCATGAAGGTGGTAATTTATCAATGATAGAAGACACAACAAAATTCTCATCCATACTAATGTCATGTTGTTTAAAACTTCATAAAATTCTTTGTAATTCATGAAATTGTTCCATAATTGGCCTACTATCAACCATCTTATAATTATTAAAATTACTAACAAGAAATTTCTTACTCGAAGCATCTTCGGCCATATACTTTGATTCTAAATCATCCCAAAGAATTTTAGCACACTCATAAAATTGATAGACATCAAACAAGTCATCAGATACCGTTAAGAATGTGTCCTCGACATATGTAGTCATCGTTTTCCCATTTGTTCCACTTCCTAGAGTTTTCTAATGTCTCATTTTCTTCCTGTAAAGGCTTCGGGGTAGTGAGGACATAGGCCTCACCAAGAGATGTCAATAGGAAGTGCATTTTCTTTTGCCATCTTCGAAAATCCACGCCCTCGAACTTATCAAATTTTTGGAAATTTGATGTCAATTCCTCAATGGTGGCCATCTTTGTATGTATATTACTTTGGATTGTTGGGGATTTTACTAAACAAGGGTCACAAAAATGATGGAAATTAACAACAACGGAAACCTTCGAGGCGTGAACGATATCACTTTCCCAAAATAATATTTCGACCCTGATTAATGACAGGCTAAAGTCGTATCACCCAATCAAAAGTAATTCCTAAAATTTCTAACTAATGTAGATAGGGAAGTAGGGTCGAATCCACTGGGAAACTGGTCTTTCTATCCTAATTAATTAAAGCAATCTAAATTATCAAGTAACAATTTAATAATATGGATATAAATTTAAACTACGGAGATTAAGAGTAAAAAGAAAACAATGAATTAAAGGCCTAGGGCATAGGTTCACTTATAAATAACATTCCAGGGTAAAACATAATAATCAATCATCAATACATCAATTAATCAGATCATAAAGGGCTTTCGCTACGTATTATAATCACAGAATTAATCTACCGGTATTAAATCTCATCTCTCGAATCTCGACTTAACCATTAATAAATTAATCTGCCTATTGAAACTAGACCTAAACATCAATTCTCATCTCTCGAATCTCGAATTAATATTGTCAAACTCATGCATAAAAGATCAGGCCTAATCTAGTAACAGAGCATTAAATCAATTAATAGGAAATTAATCTAGCATTGATAATAAACAACAATAAATTACCCCTTTATATTATTTATGGATCCCCACAAACCGTAGAAAGAAAAGTACTCACACATAATTAAATCTAAGCTAATCAAAGCAATAAAATAAGACATGATCAAAGGAACAAATAAATAACTGAGATTAAGAGAAAAGAAATCGTTACCAAAGTAATCTGGAATTAAGAGTTGAGTTAAGAACAAAGTATTATGGAGAGAAACTAATCTAAAAGCTAAGTAGAGAGAGAAAATCTAAGAGAAGAATTCAGAAAGAGTAAAAGAAGATGTTAAACTCGGTTAACGGAAAAGTATTTATATTAAGCAAGAATCCTAAACTAAAACAAACTTAAACGACGATTAAAACCTCCTAATAAAGACACGCACCCGATCGGGCGAGGCACTGCCCGATCGGGCCCGCCTTTTCACTCTCAGGTGCGTCTCTCGCGCTCGGCCGGGCGTAAGTTCGGGCTCCAACTCCTCTTCCCCGCCCGGTCGGGCGCGCCTTCGGGCGGGACCTCTAATGGCCGGGCGGCACTCTTGGGCTACTCTTTGGACTTCGATTGGGCTCCAATTCTTCGGGCGAATCCGATTTCCTCTTCGGGTGTTGAATACTCGGTCCAAATGCCCCGGTACCACATATACCGAGCCCTTAATCACCGGTTCGATGGCTCCAACCGGCCTGGGCCATGAAGGATGGTCGTGCATCTCCAATGCTCGTAGATACTCCATAATATCTCGGGAAAATGCTTCAAAAGTGCAAATCCCTATAAAAGTCAACCAAATCTACGAAAACACTAGAAAACACCAATTAGTAATAAAAGTGGCTCTAAAGAGCTAAAAACACTACTAATTATGACCAAGGGACGGGGGTAGAATACTATATAAAATGGACATATCAATTAAACACACCGGTTATCACGAAATTACTAGGAGATACAACGAAGACAACCACAATAGTGTGTAGTATATTTGTAGTCTAATGTAAACAAAACTTTTTGAATAATTTATGATGATGATAATTCTCGAAAACAACGAATGCAAAACAAAAGAATGAAAAAGAAAGTTATTGTACTTCTTTTCATGCCTTATTTTCATCATATGTTACTAGAACATATATATAGCAAAGCAAATAAACTCCTAGCACCGTTTGGTAAATGTCAGTTACTTTGTGATGTCTTGTATGAGTGGATAATCACAACCAAGTATTAATTTCCATTTAAGCCAAATGATGCAATACAACTTACTGTCACAAGTCCACAACCGTCACTTGGTATTATTTGGTCACAACCGTCACTTAGTATTATTTGGCCATTTGAGCCAAATGACACAAAGCATTATATAGCCTAATCATACGATTAAAACCAAAGACAACAGTTAATTTATGGTTATTTGCTTTAATTACTTATTTATTTAATTAATAATACAACACCTTAACCTAAGTAAATTAATTAAATAACATGAAAATAGTCTACAATTCTCTAAATAATTCAACAACATGTTCATAATCTAAATCAGATGCTCTAAATTTCACTCATATGTTCTTAAAGCAGATTTTGTAAATTTTAAATTACTTGTTCTAACTCTTAAATTAGATATTTTAAATTATTACTTACGCAGATGTTTTAAATTATTACTCACGCAGATGTTCTAAATTATTACTCATACATCGTAAATTTTAATTTGAGTCACATGTTCTAAATTTTAACTTGTATGTTCTAAATTTTTACTCACTTGTTCTAAATTTTAGATCAATTCTCATATAAGTATGAATTATCACATATGGACCTATTCTCACTGGATCCCTCCCCAATATATTTTCATACACAACCTTTATTATGGTGTGTGAATAGTTTGATGGAACTGTTACCAGGGTATTGTTGTTATGTATGATAATTTTTTTTCAAAAACTGTATTGGATTCATTCAGAGCAGCATTTCCAATTTTCATGTAGTTACTCACTTTTGAATTCTGGATTTGTTTGCTTAAACTTGGTTTATAGTGTCAATTTTCGTATTGCAGATGTAAGAAATAATTTTAAGAAGTTAATGCTGTATAAGTTGAGTAGGCTGTGTAAATGGGAGGAGGGATGATGTTTATAATAATTATGTTACTCAGACTCGACACTCGGACATGGGTAGGACACTTGGACACTTCATATTGGTTCAAAATGATGGAAAATTTTCACAAAAAAGCCGAATCGCCACTTGGACACGTATCCATGCCGGACATGGGTGCCCGAGTCCTAGTAACATAGGTTTATATAAGATATTTTAGAATGCTGGAGGAATAAGAATGATTCTGATATATTGATACAACAAGCAATAAGCTGAAAAGAGGTTCAAGAATACAATGATCTTGAGAGGTCTGCTCACACTCTCTTCAGCCTCTACCTGAGGTTCTGTATATTTATACCTTGAACTACTACAGGCTTACAGTGTATTAGGACTGTTGACTTCTAAAAATTACTGTTACAGGGCTTTTATGGCTTAAATTAATTTTAATGCTTTGGTGTACTGCTATTAAACACGATAGAGCACTGGAATATTAATCAAAAAAAAAAAGAAGCTATACTGCTATGAAATACTTACCAAAAGCTGCATGCATTACTGAAGCTAACTGTATCCCATGTATGCTGATCCTGCCTGATAGCAACAAGTAAATTTGTTCTAATTATGTTTTTGTGGTATGTCTACAGTGTCCTCTTCTTAACATAAGCTATTGCCCACCATCCGAAACTCTTTTGTCCAATGAAAAAAGTTTGGTAAATACTCATATCTTTCTGTTTGTTGAACACATTTTTATCGTTGAGAAATATGTTGGGTTTAAATAATATGTTTTCTGTTCTCTGTCCAGGTAGTTGTTGTGTACAACTCTCTTGGATGGAACAGAGAGGAAGTGATACGAATTCCGGTTAGTATTTCGTTTCTTCACCGACTTGCCTCTTCTTCTACCCTGAATGCATGCATACAAACTGAACTTTCATGTCTATCTTTGATTCTTATTTCCTTGAAACTATTTGGTAATTGCAGTGCACATATTCTGTCACCAAAACATTCAAATCCCTATATGATTAGCTGTATTCTCTCTATACCTCCACTCCTGAAATATAGGCCACATGTCTTATTAGTTCATCTCAATATAAATAGGTCACTTCCTAAATTTAGTAACTTTAACCTTGTACTTATCTATAACTCCCATATTACCTGTAAAGATACCTAAAACTTCCAAAGAGAGATTACATTGGTGGGGTACTGTGGTAGAGAGGTAAAAGCTTGAAAAGTGTAGGCTAAGTTTGGAATTTTAACACAATTTCTTGAAAGTAAGGCCCTATTCACTTCACCTTATTTTTGCTGAACTGAAATAATTTGTACTGAAACAAAATTATATTTGCTGAACTTAAATTATTTTTACTGAATTTAAATTAATTTTATTGAACTGAAATTATTTTTGCTGAGCTAAAATTTTTGTTACTGATTGTCTATTATAATTCTTCTTTAAGATAGCTGAATTTTACTTAATTGAACTTATTTTTACTCAACTGAAATTGTTTATACTTAATATTATCTTTTTAAGGTGAAGTGAACGGGACCTAACTGTGAATTAAATGTGGGCTATTATCTAAAATTAAAAGGATTTATATTCTTTTCTGTGGTTTAGATTTTCATTGCACATAAATTGACTACAAATATGCTCTTTTGTAGGTAACTATTGACAAGGTCATAGTTCGGGATATTGAAGGAAAAGAAGTAGAATCTCAGCTAATACCTTTGACTAATGCCTCACTCAGTCTTAGAAATGATAATGTGAAAGCATATCTTGGTAAACCCTTAGAAAATGCCATCAACCACTGGCTTGCTTTTGCAGTATCTGTGCCTCCCCTTGGTTTCAGCACCTATATTGTGTCCGGTGCACATGAAGGTTAGCCAGTTTCTTTAATAGCATGTCTTCATGACAGTTATTTGATGTGTTGCTGAGGCAAATACTATCTTTTTTGCTCTGAAATCTTAACATAGGTGCAAGGTCAATAATGTCATCAGCATTCTCTGTTCAAGGAAATATAAATAACACTATTGAAGTTGGACAAGGAAATTTGAGGTTGCTCTATGCTGGAGGGAAACTTTCTCAGTATACTAATAGCAGAAACTCAGTAAGCTGTGTTTTGTTCTAATGATTTCTCTATCTGGTGTTTATTTTGGTTTGCCTGTTTAATATCTTTGTCTGTGTGCCCACTGGCGAAGAGTTCTGCTGTTAGTCACTATTATCTTGTTTGGTTTTCTTATAGTTGTATTGAAGTCAGACTCTCAGATATGTACTTGCCCCTTTCAAAATTTAGACATATCTATAGTTTTGGGACATGGAGTACACTCGGATATGTACCCATATTGGCATATTGTGACAATTTTCACATATAGAAATTATTAGCAAATGTACAGAACGCCTATAATGATGTGAGTATTACTGTAGTATTATGATTGATAAGTTTCAAATCATGTCTGCACATAGTTGGTTTAACATGGTCGAAAAGGTTCACATTGAAAAATTCTGCTATCATACTGCTTTTGACTAAACAGGCTTAGCTAGTTATCTAAAGAAAAGCATAAAGTACACATGCACCAACTTTTATTAATTTTTTACTTTTCCATCGTTGATGAAGGTTAGTGCAGTTGTCGAACAGTCCTATAGTTATTACACTGGATTCAGTGGAACTAATGAAGATACTCAGGTAACCATAAGTATAAGTTGTTTTATTTCTCCGTTTCATGTTTTTATCTATTTAAAATCTTTTTTCACTTTGGTTATAATTGAGCGGAGTGTGTGAAGACCTTTCATAGTTTGGTCACTAACTTTTTTTCTTTTCTTTTATTGTTGTTTTAGGCATCTGGTGCTTATGTTTTTCGCCCAAATGGCACTTTCTCCATTAAAAGTGAGGGAGAGGTATTAATTTGTTTTTCGTACATAATGCTTATCTACTGTTGCTGCAAAGTGCAATTTCAATAATTTTAAAGCTCCTATGTAGCTAGAGATCACAAAGTACTTCCCACTTGTTCCAGGATTCATTGACTGTAATGAAAGGCCCACTACTTGATGAGGTTCATCAACAACCTACTTCATGGATACATCAGGTATTATCCATGAGAAAAGATTAAAGAGCATAGAAAACTATTGTACTTATATCCAGTAGTTTAGAAGAATTGTCTCCCATAGTTTTTACACCTGTGCTTTTATTATAGAGCAGAGAAAAAAAGAAAGTGGTAATGTATGCCATGAGAAATTGCGGTTTCCTTGTGCAGGTAACTAGAGTATACAAGGAAAAAGAACATGCTGAAATAGAGTTCACGGTTAGTTTCTGGTATTATATCTTCATATAAAACAAGTTACAATTGGTTCTAAAGCTCATACTTGGTATATATTTGATTAGATTGGACCCATACCCATTGATGATGGAGCAGGGAAAGAAATTATTACCCAGATCAAAACAACCATGAAAACAAATAGAACTTTCTACACTGATTCTAATGGCCGCGATTTCATAAAGAGGGTGAGTTAATACTTAATTACTTAGCAAAAGGAATTTATATTTGTGTATTTATATTATGTCCAAACCAAGTAGTGTTATAAAAGATGATGATTCATCTGTTACCTTTCATTTGTCTTTCCACCTCACAGTTAAGTATATACTGAGAATGACTTCAAGTTGTTCAAACTTGTTAGATTTTTGCATGACCATGACTTTTAACAAAGTTGAACTGCCTGTTTTGAAAAATTGATTATTATTTCAGATTCGTGATCATAGGACAGATTGGGAACTCGAAGTCAGCCAGCCAATTGCAGGAAACTATTACCCAGTATGTTATGCTCCTAGAATTTGTTCACTCCAAGGTCTTTGTTGCAACAGGTTTTTTATTTTTATAAATGTTTCCTCTTTAAATTTTTTTATTTTATTTTTATAGTGATGTTAACTCTTGGGTTAGCTATATATATATATATATATATATGCTTGACTTTACTTAATGTTGGAGTAGAGTCTGATTGGCTTGTGCTAGTGGCCGGCTCTTTGTTCCCAGTCAAGTTGGATTATTTTGAAGTACTTGTGCTCCTATTGTTGAAGTGGATCATTTAATTGATTTGTTATAGTTCCTTTTTCGAAATTAATGTCATGATTTTGATTAAATTAACTCATGTGCTTGTAAGTCTCATGGAAACATTTTGTAAAAACCCTTACTATGATTTTATAGATGACAAGAAACCTTGGTATGCACTCTTTGTCTTAAATCATTTAATGTGGCCAGTTGCTGCTGGTAGTAATAGATTTTTCTTTGGCTGGTTTTTATTGTTAAACAAAAGCATATGCTATATGGCTGACAACCTGAATGCATTTCGTTTGGTTCGCTCTCTACATTAGAACATCGTACAGAAAGTGAATGTGATTGCTTATCTCATTGACAATATATTGATGATCATTCTTCTTTTGCAGATAAATCTTGGAATATACTTAGAAGATGAAAACAAAGAACTTTCTGTGCTTGTTGACCGTGCAATTGGCGGGTCCAGCATAATGGATGGTCAGATAGAATTAATGCTACATCGGTATGTCAAAATTCTCAAATAGCGAGTTTGGTCTCCTGTGACTTAAAAGTATTGCAAATTTTTGATTCATCTTGTAACAAATAACAAGTTCCTGTTTGATAGGAGGCTGCTTCATGATGATGCTAGAGGTGTTGGGGAGGTTCTTAATGAAACAGTTTGTGCTCTCGATGATTGTAAAGGCTCAACGGTATGCTTCTTACTTTCTTAGGAATTTAAGTGTCCTTGTTCATATTAATACTTTTGTGCGCTGCACCACATGCACTGATGTGCAATATATGTCTTGATTTCTTTTAGTGAAGCATAAATCACCATGACCTCTTTCATAGCAACATGGTGAAACTGATCTGATCCAATACCTGCCCCAATTTCAACCCAAAAATGACAACATAAGCTGAACTAATATGACCCTATCAGAAAGTTTCCAGGAGACCAACCTGTTACCAAGAACAGGGCAACAGTAATTCAAATATTAATATACCTAATGCACTGTTGAACATGTGTACCGTTGAAGGTTGAACCTGTGGAAGCTGAAAAGATCAAGGATTAAACTTGCCTATGTTTTATTATTGATGCTATATCATTTTTCAGCTGCTGCTAACTGTATGATGTTTAAGAGTCATTAATCTAGAAAGAAAAGCTTTAGCTACAATTTCAATGGAATTTCCATGAGAAGGCATTAAAAATTAATCTCCCACGCAATTAAAAGCATATATTGAATAATTGTATTTGATGAGGATAGATAAGTTATTCATATTGTTTCTGCAATAGAATTTCGAAATTTGAGTGTTGGGAGCTTGCTAGTCTGTTCAAATTGAGTCCTGCAAAATACAGAGAGTCAACTACCTCAGGGTTGTTATTGAGAAAGTGCCTCCGATGGTCAAGTCAGTCAATCGTTTAGAGAGAGTGGAGAAAATTAATTAGACGACTGATATGTGTTGACCATTATTTATAGATGAGAACTAACTGACTGATTAGGGCTCAGTTTAGGGTTTTTGGCAGTGTTAAGAACTGCTGGGCTGCATTAGGGTTACTCGGGATGCGTGCCGTACACGGGAATATTCCTGTTTAGGGTTTATTCTAAGGGCATTTTGTTAATTTTGATATTTTATAGAGTTGGGCCCACAGTGGGGGCCCAAACATTAGCCCCGTGACAAATTCGTGAGACGTTCTCCACAATTCAGGAGTTCGGCGAAAAAATGATTTTTTTACCAAGTCATGAATAAGCGTGTATGTTACGAGGTCGTGACCAAGTAGTGAGCGAGCGCTCCCAGCCCTTGCTTGGGTGCTTGGCAAGTTGTGCGCTAGTGCACTGGCAATGCCGCCAGCCTCATTCGTCATGTGTGTGTGCTACTCAAGTAAGGCTTGCGTGGGTGCTAGGCGAGTCACAAGTGAGGCCTGATGCACTTGCTAGTTGCTGGTAGCTCCATATTTGGGTGTTAGGCGAGCGAGGTTTGGTGCGCTCTAGCAGCGGTCGCTCTTGAGCGCGCACCAGGCCTTGCCTAGCACTCACAAATGGGGTTGGCAGCATTCACCCAGGAGTGCGCACCAGGCCTCGCTCGCCAAGCACCCACGCATGGGGCTAGCAGCATTCGCCCAGTGCCCTAGCTTGCACCAAGCGTTGCTCGCTAAGCACCCAAGCATGGGCTGGCAGCGCTCGCTTACTACTTGGGCACGACCTTGTAACGTGCACACTTATTTATGACTTAGTGGTCAGAAAATCATTTTTTGGCCAAACTCCCGCGGTGTGGATAACTTCTCGCGAAATTTTCGGGAGCTAATGTTCGAATCCCCTTGTGGGCCCAACTTTGTAAAATACCAAACTTACTAAAATGTCCTTGGAATAAACCTTAAAACGGAATATTCCTGAATCGTATACAGCGCACATCCCGAGAAACCCTAATGCGGCCCAGCATTTCCCAACACAGCCAAAAACCCTAATCCGAGCCTTAATCAGCTAGTTGGTTCTCCTCTATAAATACTGGTCAATACAGATTAGCCGGGTAATTAATGTAAAGCTGGCCTAATTTGACCCTATTCAAATAATCCGACCGACGTGAACCCCCTTTGATCCATCGATTTTCACCTAAGATGGGATGCCACTACTGATGTAATTACCGCTTTTGATAAGTGACCTATATAGCTACCTTCATTACTTACCAAGAGTTTGCCTTGTGGTAAGGATTCCAAGGAAAGGACTTTTCAACCTTGAGGTTGGCAGTTCAATCCCTACAAGGGGTACTTTCATGGTCACTTACTCTTAGTGTGTAAATGCTAACCTTGGCCAATTGACCTATGAGAGGTTTTGGGCCAGTAGGGCAGTTCTTCTTAACTACCCAAAAAATAAAAAAAAGTGTTATCTTCATCTGAGAACCATTATATAAGAATACTGTTCTGTGCACAATCTTTAGCTTTTACTCACCACTCTCAGTCAGCCTGCATTCTTAATTTCCTTAGCCCCATTTTGCAGATTAAGGGAAAATATTTTTTTAAAATTGATCCCATCGGAGAGGGGGCAAAATGGCGTCGAAGTTATAGCCAGGAGATATACTCTCCACTAATCTTTGCTTTTGCAGAACAGGTAAAAAAACATTACCGTAGAAGGTACTTATATCTCCTGAACTCGTTTCTTAGTTGATGTGAATGTATTCTTTTCCTCTTTTTATAGGATGGGGATGACTGGATGAGCTCCCATGTACCGACCTTTACTGGACTAGCTTCTTCATACAGCCTTCCTGATAATGTTGCTATAATCACTCTTCAGGTAAGTGGTAGGATTGTATTGAAAAAGTTGTATTATGAAGTTGAATGATGAACTGGTCTAATCTCCTTTATCATTCAGGAGCTTGACAATGGGAAAGTACTTCTTCGGTTAGCACATCTTTACGAGGTTTCAACTTCTCTTATTTTTCTCATGGAGATTACAATGTCAATTGCTATATATTTGTATATGTTTTATATTATTTTTGAAGTATATATTATTTATGGAATTTATGTTGATAACTTCATATAGTGGATTACAATCTGTTGATCTTAATGGTAGCGTACTGCCCCTTTTAGTGAGGTGGTACGTATGAAGCATCTTTTGAGACAGGGCACATACTCTGGGACATAGAGGTGGTTTTCATCATAATTGGTCCCTGAGCCTTGTTAATTCTCTCTGATTTATATTGGATCGTAATATAATGAAGTCTGCCCAAGTCCTGCCGTTGGGGACACCCTCAGGCATGTTCAAACCCCTTGTAAACTAACCTTCCCACCCTAACCCTTTCCACCTTTTAACCCTTGAGAACGGAGACCCTGCCCCTATGGAAAAGAAAGAACTCACAGGATATACCTAATAGGGGATCTCCATATATGCAGTTATATTTCGAAAATTCTACCTCTGAATTGCTAAAATTTCTACCTCTTGATATCAGTAAGTGCTAATATGAATGCTTGTAACATCACTTGTGAGCCTCATATCCAATATGTCATTAGAATTAGCAAATTATAGATTCACAATCGACTAAAAGGGGAAGAAAATGTTGGACGAAAACTCATGTTAGTTCATTTGTATGATTTTTTTAACAAGATGATGTTACTGGTAGTGGTGGTGCCCCTATAAGTGGGAAAAACTGATTATCTGGATGGATTAATGTATTGTTACTAATTGTAGAAGTGTTTTGGCCCTTGAAGCTTAGTTTCAGTACCTTCCTAATCAACCTCCACCTCTATAGTTGTGGCTTCCTTTGCTGTTGCTTTTCCGGCCATTTTTGCATATGCTGCTTTATGCACTCAGTTCTGCGTCTGTTTTTGGCTAAATCTGTTCGTTTTGGATATCTTTTGCATCTAAAGAACGGAGAGGACAAAGACTTGTCTGTGATGGCACATGTAGTACTCAAGAAACTCTTCCCAAACAAGAATGTAAGAAATCAGAGTTTAGAGCATCAAATACTGTAAATATTTTGTTTCATACAAGCATCAATATATGGAATTTTTGTTGCTTCTCATGACAGATCATTAAGGTGACAGAGACGAGCCTATCTGCTAATCAAGAAAGGGCTGAAATGGAGAAGAGGAGGTTAGCATGGAAAGTAGAGAATTCGTCAGGAAAAGAGACAAAGGTGTCGAGGGGAGGTCCTGTTGATCCCGTGGAGCTGGTGGTGGAACTTGCACCCATGGAAATTAGGACCTTCTTAGTAGATTTAGAATACATCAAAATGTTTGGTGCTTAACTGTACTTTGTGCTGATTCATCCAGGAACTAGTTCATGTCTCTAATTCTGCCATTGAGCCATCCCATCCCATCCCATCCCATCCCATCCCACTGAGTATGTGCTGACTGAGCTTGGACATGTTGTGTACTTGTTTGTGTATATAATTTACTATGGAATTTATCTTTACACCTTTTCGTTAGTGACATAATATCTTTAGTCAGCGATTAGAATCATTTTTTTAACATTGTAGGGCAGGAGTAAGGCGTGATTGTCTGATGCTAGATAACATGTTTTCACACTTCAATAACTTCATAGTTAGTATAGTTATTCGCTATTTCGCACTCCCGAGTTGGAGTCGCTCGTCCTCACTCTTTGCTCCCTGTTTCCACCATCTTGTTCATTATCGCTAGTTTTCCTTTTAAATCAGTGGAATTTTCTTCGACACAAGCTCTTAAACTAGAGTTTTTAATTTCTATACTCTCGTTTTCCCTAGGTTTCTATACTCTACTCATTTTCTTTAGGGTTCGTTTGGCATCGTTGTTGTTTTCTATTTTTTGGTTTTTTGTTTTTTTAAAAGTATATTATATATGTCACATAATGAATCAAAAATTATTTAGACTTATTAAAATCATGATAATTTTGAAAACTGACAACAGAAAAGTGGAAACAACTTTTACTTGTTTCCTGTTTTTTGGTTTTTAGTTTCTATACTATGCTCGTTTTCAACACAAGGTCTTTGGGCTTGTTTGGCATCGTTTTTGTAGTTTGTAGTTTATTTTTTGTTTTCTGTATTTTTTTAAAACAAAAAAACCAAAAAATTGAAAACAAGAAAAATGTGTATTCACCATTCTGTTGTCAATTTTCAAAATTACTATGATTTTAATAAATTAACTGATTTTTTATTCATTATATGACATAGATTATATGATTTTGAAAAAAAAGAAAAAACCAGAGTGATGCCAAACAAAATCTTAATTAGTGGCTTTTAATTTCTATATTGTGCTCAATCCCTCTAGGTTTCGATTACAAGTTCCCTGATTTTTCCCTCTTTCAACAGATATGGCTTCAACTCAATATTACCCAAGCCAAAATCTGTCTTTTTACGAACCCAAAAATCCAATTTCCATCTTCATCTAGTTCTTGGCAAGTTTGTAGACTACTGTCAATATTCAGAGCAACGAGTCCAAGAATGGGTGTCACTAGATTAAATCTGGGATATTATAGTCTAGAATTTCAATAATATTTTTTAGTTTCAATGTGAAGATGTTCGAGACTGAGATGTCATGTACCAAGTTTCTCTTCTAGTCTTCAAACCTTGGACTCAAGGTGATTCTTTAAGGGATATAGTTTTAACGAGGCTGCTATATGGGTACAACTTGATGCGTCACCTCTAAACTTGTGTGAGATACATGTTAAATTGATGCTTTCTTTGGCCGGAATATTCAGTGACTAATAAAACCCTCCCAGATCAAATTAGATGCTTGCTTGGAGTAAAGCTCCAAATTCATTTTTTTGAACCGTTATTACCAGGTTTCTACTTGGACCTCGGAAACTCTGAGTTTAAATGAATTAATATCATATATGAGAATTTGTTTATTTTGTGCTTTAAGTGTAATATAGTTGGTCACAGGAAAAATTCTTGTTTGTTTGTCTTCTTATTATGACTACTCCATTGGTGGCTGATAAAAATGGTTGGTGTGTCTAGTTTTGATCTTGACCATAAGCTCTCCAATTCGAACATTGGCCTAAAAAGGATTGAAAAATTCAGAACAACTCGAGTAAATCTTCGGAGTATTTTTAAAGACATTGTCCTATCCCAACCCCAGAGTAGCCAATTAAAAAAGAGGCCCCTTATGTTTGCTACTTCATCCTTCCCCCTTTGAAAAAGTAGAGATTGCATTCTGAATCCACAGAATATATTAACCATATTCCTACAACACCCAACCACACACCACCTCTAGCTAACTTTCTCACCTTCTAGAAAACTCTTACCCAATTTTAAGTCCAGGATGTTTAATGTGCCATTCTCCTCACAAAGATCACATCCTCTCAAACAGCCAAAACCTTCTTTTAAGATATTAACATGTATTGTTCTAGTGTTAAGCTGTAGAGGAGAGTAGAAAAGATCTGGGAATGGGTTAAGCATCACAGTTCTAAGAAACAATTGAATAGTGATGTTGAACCTTCTACACCACTTTTACCTAAGGAACAACTTCAAAATTCTTGTGAAACCGGTTGTTTTCCATGCTTCCTACCTTATAAGAAATGCAAAGGAATTTTGATTTTAGCATTTTATAGGCGCCGTTTGAAGTGCGCCTACGTTAAAGCATGTGTGAATATGTTTGGCCCTCATAGGAAGTGGGAATTGACATAATACGATTAGGGACAAGGAAAGTAGGGAGTCGTCAACAAGTTTTTAAGGAACTTGTAAACCGTTCACAGATCATTTAAGGCAACCACGAATAAGGGACAACGAAGGCAACAACGATTGACCCGTGAATGTTACACCCCATTCATAATCCATGAGATTACTAACTCCATATGGTTCGGAAACATGAAAGGAGGATCGGGGATGATGGTACGAAGTGAGTCATGGAGTCACATTCGCCCGTATTGGTCTCTACTCGATTCTTTATTGTGAAAAGTGATTCCTGCGATCTCAAAGGCATACAAACAAAGATTCAATTCGCTCCAAACTATTATTATGCTAAATTGGTTGAATATTAATACAAGAGATATTTCTAAAATACCGTGATCACTTGATTAAACAACAAGATTAAAAAGAAACCTAAACCTGTCGTCCAAATTATCTTATTAGATGTGATTTTCAATTACATATTCCCTTTAAACATGCAGTATAGTGATATTATAAATTATAATAGAATAAACATTAATATTGGAAGCAATTCAACAATAAATTGTTAGTTAAACTAAATAATAACAATAACCCTAATCATGATACTAGAAATAAAGAATAAAAATAAGAGTAATTAAGTGGTTAATTACTGACTTTTCGTATTTTCTTGAATTGCTACATCATGAATAAACTGTTAGTAACTTCAATAAAAATATAAATCAAATAGAAATTAAATTAAAAAAAAGTAGAGTTGATTTGGTCCAAACCCTCAGTTAATTCTACCTTTTCACGCCTTGGTTTAAGTACAGAATCTTGGGTCAAGTATGGACACCTTAAAGTGCTTAGGGGAAGTATTTTGAGATAATAGGGAGGCTAGTGTTTAGGCTAAAGAGGGAGAAGAGAATGATTTTGTGATCAAGCTTGTTGATGATCAAAAAAGGGGTGATATGGACTTTATTTATAATGCAAAAAGAAGGGTAGAAGAATCAAGATAAAATCCGAATTTAATCAGAATAAAACCTGATAAATAGCAGTTTTTGCGATTTTTGTTTTTATCATATCTTTTGATCTAGAAATTGAAATAAGATAAATAATATGTTGTTGGAAATCTCTTGTAGTGTAATTTCTAACCCAATTAGAATCAGGTCAAAATCTTTTGTAGATTTCAAGATATGACCGTTTTAGTGAAATGGTGTCGATTTTGGGCCGGGTTTAGTATTTTGCTCATATCTTCTTCGTTTTAAATCTAAATTTGGCTTATGATATATTTTTGGAAATCTTATTTCAAGGCCTATCCAACCAAATAATAATTGGATCAAAATGATTGGGCCACAAAATCAGTTTCTCTCGGTTTTGTGATGTGGACATGAAAAGTGGAAAGTTATGGTTTAGGAAAATGAGCTAGGAATTGGATTGGTTTATGAAATGTATTGAATAGAAATATGGATTAAGCACTCCAAAAATTAATACTCAAACCAACCAATAATGGAAGTGAAAGGTTGTTCATCATCGGGTTTGATTTTGTGGAGACATTTTTAGGTGTCTACCGAAGCCCCCACTTTGACTGAGTTTATAGAAACGTTAGTTTCGAAAACGATAGTTAAAGTAGTCGATAGGAACGGAGAATGATTTAAGATGTTCTGCAATCCTAAATAACTCTTTTTACACCAATACCTGCAGAAAAATGTTATTTCCATTGATAAAAGAGTAAAGGGATAGAATGCTTATCTGACACCAGTGTATCGGTGGCAAATAAGTTTGATAGTATCTGACACCAGTGTATCGGTGGCAAATATGTTCGATAGTATCTGACGTGATAGATGAGTTTGGTAGCTTTCTATGCTTGAAGAAATCTACCGGATGATATTTGATACTTTCTATGCTTGAGGAAAATCAACAGATGAATTTGGCAGTTTTCTACGCTTGAAGAAATCCACCGGATGATACTTTCCATGCTTGAGGAAAGTTGATAGATGATATAATCGCCGACTTCTTCGTCTTGAGAGGTGGCAACGACAGACAATTTTCCATGCTTGAGGAAAAACTCTAATGATGATATTGCAAGTCTTTATGTATCGAGAACCTTGCGCCGTGAATCGTCTTCGCTTGGGAGATGATCACTAAAATGATAATGGTTTGATGGTCCCCAAACGTGGGCTATAGTTGGTTCGATTGTCCCCGAACGTGGGCTGTAGTTGGTTCGCTTGTCCTCAAAAGTGGGTTGTAGATGGTTCGCTTGTTTCCGAGCGTGGACTGTAAATGGTTCGCTTGTCCCCAAACGTGGGATGTAGTTGGTTCGATTGTCCCCGAACATGGGCTGTAAATGGTTCGCTTGTCCCCGAACGTGGGCTGTAAATGAGACCTGCAAAAATAAATTTGCCAAGGGACTCGTATATTTTGTGATTGACTTGACCAAATGAATTAACCAAGTTTGACTTGAAATGACATGACATGTGTATGACTTGTGGTTGTCTGTGTATATGGTGTGTGTGTGCAGTCACAAGCAACCAAAAATGCAAAGCAAAAACTCTCCGTCATTATTTTCAGGAGACTAGTGGAGGGTACCGACTTTCTTCCGAAAAAGAAAGACGTGAAAATTGAACTTTTATTTTCGAACTTTCGTCATATGAGATTTTCAGGAACCAAAAAAGTCCGTCGAAAATTTTCCGACGGAATAGTAAGATCCGTCAGAAACTTCCGACTGGAATTCCATCGGAAAGATTATTTATGCAATTAAAAAAACGTCGTGCCACCATCGGCGCGACGTATCACCACCTCCACTACCCCCATCAAACCACCACGGCCCACCTAAACCTAATCAGACCACTTACCCCACCCCACCTAACCAGACCCACCTCCTAGCC